TCATATTATGGTGCCAGGAAAAAAAATAAAGGTGTGTCTGTATGTGTCTGTCTGTCTGTGTCTGTCTGTTCGCGTCTTGGGGAAGGCAACGCTCACGCCGACATAGGAGTCTGTCTGTCTGTTAAAGAGACACAGACTATATGAGGCTAATGATATGTAGTATACAGGTGAATCCTTTTACGTTTGGCAATGTTAACCTCCCCCTCTCTCTCTCTCTCTCTCTCTCTCTCTCTCTCTCTCTCTCTCTCTCTCTCTCTCTCTCTCTCTCTCTCTCTCTCTCTCTCTCTCTCTCTCTCTCTCTCTCTCTCTCTCTCTCTCTCTCTCTCTGTCTCTCTCTCTCTCTCTCTGTCTCTCTCTCTCTCTCTCTCTCTCTCTCTCTCTCTCTCTCTCTCTCTCTCTCTCTCTCTCTCTCTCTCTCTCTCTCTCTCTCTCTCTCTCTCTCCATATATAAAGTAAATGTCATAAGTGTAGATGCTCAGCGCCAGAGTCCACGGGTTCAGTCCTTAAGTAGGATTAATGTACTTATACTTACCACCAGACCCTTCCATTTAGGTATACTTCACCTCTAGTATATGCTGTGGTATACGATATATTCCCATGGGTATATACGTGTACTTATAGGTCTATGTATTTATATATTAAGTATGTGAGGTATATATTATTAAAATATGTAGGTTATACTTTCGCCATTTGTAAGTATACTTTGTGATATATGAGGTATACTTATTGTGTATGAGTATATGAATAGTATAACATTACTTTTGTCATATAGACCTTAATATGCTGGGTATATTCATGGGTTATAAGATATATCAATGAATAGGTCTTAAGAAATATAGGAAATACAAGATTATACTAATTTATATATCAAAATAATAGTATACTTACTCTACCTGGCCTAAAGTATAGCGTATAACGAGTATATCAAGTATAACAAGATTTATTTAAGAACACTATAAAGTATATTTATCGATTATATAGACTTAAAATTATATATGAAACCTGATTCATAATATATCCGAGTATACTTAAATATACTACATAAAGAGACATGGAAGCTCTTGATATAGGAGAGTATATTATTAAATGATATATAAATGCCATAGGAACGTCTTGGTTATGTTTATAGTCAATGGGATATATCTTTATACCACGTTATTATATGTCTGGTATGCTGAGGAACGGGTGTGGGGTGTGGTATAATCCTCGTGTCCTTGTTCCTCTCAGCTCCTATGAGTGTTACCTGTGCTTAGTGTAGGTCAGCAGGTGTAAATTTTTGAGAATTTTTTTATAATGAAAATTTTTTTAGAATTTTTTATTTGGGTTTTTTTACGATTTTTTACTTTTTTAATGTTTTTTTTTTAGAATTTATGAGGATTTTTGTATGCTCGTCTTTGTGATTTGGGGAATTTTATTAATTCTAAGGGGAAATAATTTTGTATATATTTTATTTTATTTATTTTTAATGCGCTGGAAGTCCGGATGTTTATTTTACAATTAATTTTACATATTTCTGAAACATGATTATTTTTTATTTGCGTGACTTTTTTGGGTCATAAAATATTCAATGATAAATTATATACAAATTGTTTATTTTAGGAGAAATTTTATATTTAAATTCAGTGTTTTTTTTTTTTGAGTTGGTAAAAGAAATGAACAATGACTGTGTTTGTTTGTTTTAAATTCGAGAAAAACACTTCCAAAGATTTTATTGTTTTTTGATGTGAGAAATGTTATATTAAAATTATAGACGATTGAAATATATGTATAGGAGTTATATAATGTATGTATATGGATGAAAAATATTCCTCTATGTATAATTTTAAATTTTAAGAAAGAATTTATTCATATTTTTAGGGTGTATAAATTATCTCCTTAATTATAGGTAAGAAAAATGTGTATATGTTGTATTATATGTCCGTCTGTTCGTATAATTATGAGGAGGAAGGAATAATTGTTATTTATTTTGAGTTTTCTTAAAAGACTTCACACTCATACGAACTGAAAGGAGATTTAGAGAAGCAATATTGCCATTGGTTTTTTTCTGTCCAGTCATTCGTAACATCAGACAAGAATTAATTGATACTGTTCGAAATATTTTATACATATACATATGTCTTTAATAATGACCTTATATGTGATAATGACTAAGGTATATGAAGATCTTTTTCTTTACATATTTATAATGAAGTTGATTACGTCACGTGGTTTCTATTACTCGTTGCCAACTCTATCCATTTCACTCAATTTATCAGAATTAATCTTGTCTGAATGTTACGGAAAAAAATACCGCATTTGTAAGCATATATACATGAATATATATCTAAATATATATATAATATAAACAAAATGTTGATTATAGCTGAGATTTATTTTATATTTTTGTTTTTTCTTCTATTTCTTCTTCTTCTCAAGACTTACATGATATGAGCCTGAGATGTATTCCATGTCAGTGTTCCAATAATTATTTTTTTGTGTGTGGGAGCCAACAGGTGTCAACGAAAGCATGTTATTTGTTGTTGTTATTTTTATATGGTATGTTGTTGTACGTCGACTTTATAAAAACAATAATAAAAGTATTCTTGTGTACGTAACCCACTTTTATTTGAGCCTTTATTTCCACTTTGAATCATCAATAATAAAAGTATTCATGTGTACGTAACCCACTTTTATTTGAGCCTTTATTTCCACTTTGTATCATCAATAATAAAAGAATTCTTGTCTATGTAACCCATTTTTATTTAACCCATACGTCCAATTAATCGCGTATATGACCACCAGGAGAAGAAACTGATTCACGAGGCTAATGAACCCCAGTGAGCACCGATTCAGAACCAGTGTCTCATCTGACTGTAGGACCGAGGTATGGGTGTGAGTGTGTCTGCCAGGGAAGCTTCAGTCTCTTCCTCTGCTGCCTACAGTGTTCGTCTTATCCCGGTGTGTGGATGAAGGATTGTGTTAAGGACTACTACTACTGCTGCTGGTGTGATTGAGTTACGGTGATAATCGCCTGGTTCCTTGTGAATGGCCATCGTAAACTACACTTACTACCTGAACTGCCAATTCAATCAGGTTTGTGTTGTTTATAGGTGTAATTTAATATTTAATGTAAGAATAATTGGGTAATATTCTGGTGTGTTTTAGTGAAAGCTTCTCTCATCACATCAAAACAAATAAGAAATTATACAAAATAAAAACAAGAATAAAATATCTTTCATAATCTTTAATAAAAACAAAACACAAGCGAACACGAACGCCCGGGTCATCAGCGCCAGGCGAAAACACAGTGAAAAGAATGACATAGAGACTTAGTGAATATGCAAATGAGTTTAACATTACATAAGAGAAAAAGTTTATAATTGTAGATTTTTATGTAAAGTAATTAGTTAAAGGTAATGATGATAGTGATAATTTGTCCTTGTGTCTGTCTGTCTGTCTGTATTTCTGTCTGTCTGTCTGTCTGTCTGTCACCCAAACTTAGCAATAAATAACAGGTCATACAAAATAAAGGTTCCAGGTCACAGGTCACACGTCACAAGCCACAGGTCATAGGTCACTCAGGAGAGATTAGATGATGACTCTTTATAAATAAACAATAAAACTTAACTCTAACACACTATAGCACTATAACACTATATGAACTGTATTATATGAGCTATAATATACCATCAATGCCCTGAAATACTTAAACGGAAAAGATCAGGAAAAAATGTGTGTATCAAATTAGGATCAGAATAGAACGTGAGGCGACTTAGCCACTGGACCAATGGACCACTGGATCAATGGATCACTGAACCAATGGACCACTGAACCAATGGACCACTGAACCAATGGACCACTGAACCAATGGATCAATGGACCAATGAACCAATATACCACTGAACAAGGAGAAGCTACATGTGCTACGGTAAAAATCAATTTCTTTCCTCAAATTTCTGTTTCACTTTTAATATTGTGGTGGTGTGGTGACGTGGTGGTATTGTGGTAGTATTGTTTAGTATTGTTGTGGTAGTGTGGTGGTATTGTGGTAGTGTAGTGATATTGTAGTTATAATTTCCTATATTGATTTTTCACATACATATTATAATTACTAAATAACGAAATCACATTACATAATACTGTCAAATATCAGGTTTTTTTTTATTATATATCAATACTCAATTATACCTGGTGATATAATTTGTACTTAGAGGTATTTTTAGATTATATTCCTGATATATAATATAGTTATTGTATTATTGAAGAATTTAATGTCTATATGAATTTTATGGAGTGATGTCGTGGGGATGCTTCTGTTAACGGTATATCTACTGTTGATTCTGTTGATTCTTACTGTTTATGTTGAGGTTTTTGTTGTTGTTGTTGTTGTTGTTGTTTTTCTTTCCCTGTTATCTCTGTCTCTCTCTGTTACCGTTATCACTCTCTGTTGTTATTCTCTCTCCCGTTTACTCTCTCCTGTTAGTCGTACCCGTTAGGATTCTTCGTCTGGAAGTTCCACGTATCTCTACCTGTTAATGAAGGAAGGTGTGTTACAGGTGTGTGTTACAGGTGTGTTACAGGTGTGTATGTGTGTGTGTTACAGGTGTATTGCAGGTGTGTGTTACAGGTGCATTACAGGTGTGTGTGTGTTTGTGTGTTACAGGTGTATTACAGGTGTGTTTGTTACAGGTGTCTTACAGGTGTGTGTTACAGGTGTATGTGTTACAGGTGCAATACAGGTGTGTGTGTGTGTTACAGGTGTATTACAAATGCGTGTGTGTTACAGGTGTGTGTTACAGGTGTATGTTACAGGTGTATTGCAGGTGTGTGTGTGTTACAGGTATGTTACAGGTGTATATGTTAGAGGTGTGTTACAGGTGTGTGGGTTACAGCTGTGTTACAGATGTGTGTTTGTACTGATACATTGGCATACATATACAGTACATTCATGCTTATACATATATATACACATATACTTGCATACATGTACACACACACACACACACCCCCACTCTGTCTACCTATATCCTCTCGACAGTGCGGGAGGCCGACCACCCTGGCTCTCCTCCGCCAATTGGCAGAACAAATCGTCTGGCCCACGTCACCCTCTTCGTCGATTTTACGATCTTGGCGGGTATCTGCTGCCCACACGCCCTGAGACAGACAGACAGACAGACAGATATGTTTGATAGACAGATAGACAGGCAGAGAGAGATAAATTCACCCCAAACTCTCACCACCACCCCCTTCTCCACCACCCCTTCTCCACAACCCCACCCTTTCTCCACCACCCCCCTTCTCCTACAACCCCTCCCCTTTCTCCACCACCCCCCTTCTCCACCTGTCCCCCTTCTCCCACCACCCCCTTCTCCACCACCCACCCCTTCTTCTCCACCACCCCCCCTTCTCCACCACTAACCAAACTTACTTGCTAAACGCCGTCACCATCTCCAACACAGACACTCCTCTCCCACAGCCTAGATTGTACGGCTTAACTCCCGTGAAGCTGTTGTCGAAAAGCTTCTCCAGGGCTGACTTGTGACCCTCGGCTAAATCCATGACGTGTATGTAGTCTCTCACACCTAGATAGGAGAGTGAGAGAGAGGGGGGGGAGAGGGGAGGGAGGGGGAGGGAGGGGAGGGGGAGGAAGGGGGGGTTAGAATAGACAGGTAAACTTATTATGTGTATTTAAAAGCTCTATCTTATTATTGTTATTATTATTATTATCATTATTGTTATTATTCTTTGATATTTTATTTTATTTTTTATTTTTTTTTTACTTATTTTCATCTTTATTTTCGTTCTTCTTTGTAATTTTTTTGTGTTTATGTTAAATAATAACAACAACAACAAAATTAAACCATTCAATTAAACCAAACACAAAAAAACAACCAAATTAACCCACTAAAACAAAACACAGGTAACTCACAGGTGCCGTCAGGTGTGTCCCAATCACCACCGAACACCTGTACAAGTTCACGCCTTCCTACTGCACACTGAGCTATGTAAGGCATTAGGTTCATGGGGACACCGAGGGGGTCTTCTCCTATGAGGCCAGATTCGTGAGCCCCGACGGGATTGAAGTACCGTAGCAGCACCACCTTCCACTCCTACAGGCAGGTGTTGGAGTAATTATTATGGGAAGGTGTTGTGGTGAGGTGTTGGGGGAGGTGGTGGGGGGTGGTGAGGAGGTGGTGGTGGGGAGGTGGTGGGAGGTGGTGAGGTGAGCTGAGGTGAGGTGAGGTGGTGGGGGGAGGTGGTGAGGTGTTCGTTAAGACTTTACCACCCATTAAGACTTTACCACCCATTAAGACTTTACCACCCATTAAGACTTTACCACCCATTAAGACCTTACCACCCATTAAGACCTTACCACCCATTAAGACTTACCTTATCAGACACGTACAAGTCCTTGATCATCTGCTCACAAACGTACTTAGACTGTCCATAAGGGCTTCGTACGTCCACGCCCGTCGGATGCTCTTCGTCAGTAGGGAAGTACTTGGCAGACCCGTACACCGTAGATGACGAGGAGAACACCAGCCTCTTGCACCCGACCTCACACATCACCTGACGAAGTAGTGGCAGGTGAGATAATTACTAGAGAGGGAGAGATGTAGGTGAGAGGAAGAGACACAGGTGAGGGGGAGACACAGGTGAGGGGGAGGCACAGGTGAGGGAGAGACACAGGTGAGGGAGAGGCACAGGTGAGGGAGAGACGCAGGTGAGGGAGAGACACAAACACTGGTATAACGAACAACACCTTGTAATGAACCTACCTGAAGAAGGGTGATGACCTACCTGAAGGAGTCATGACCTACCTGTAGAAGGGTGATGACCTACCTGAAGGAGTCATGACCTACCTGAAGGAGTCATGACCTACCTGAAGAAGGGTGACAGTGCCGGTAATGTTGTTGTGGTAGTAGTCAAGAGGCGTCCCGATGGATTCCGACGGCCTTAAATGCAGCGAAGTGGATTACCACATCCACTTTATACTGTGGAGAAGAAACGGTGGCGTAAGTGGATTGGAAGTGGGGTGGAGTGGATAGTAGTTGAGGAGGTGGATTGGAAGTGAAGTGGAGTGGATAGTAGAAGGTGGATCATGTGGGTAAAAACAGATAATCCACACATTTTTTCCTACCCTGATCCACACACACACACTTATTTAATATATCCACTTTTCTTACACTTCTTCCCTCCTCTCTCTCTCTCTCTCTCTCTCTCTCTCTCTCTCTCTCTCTCTCTCTCTCTCTCTCTCACCCACTGCCCTGTCATCCAATCCACATCACCCACCTCACCCTTACCCACATCACCCACTACTCTACCACCTAACCCACACCTCAAGACCCACATTACCCACTTCATGAACCCACACAGAGCCCCTTATAATTAACTACACACCGGGTGGATTAAAACCCGTCACGACCCGTTGAGTCCCGGCGCGTCACTCCTACTAGGTCTGTCAAGGTATCTGTCTGTCTGTCTGTCTGTCTGTCTATCTGTCTGTGTGTCTGTGTGTCTGTCTGTCTGTCTATCTGTCTGTGTGTCTGTCTCCATGGTTACGGCTATCTCTCTGTAACCATGGCAACGGTTCCCCCTCTGATAATCCCTCTATTTCTACTTTTCCCCTCGACCTATTTTCTCTCTTTTCTCCCTCCTTTCTCTCTCCCTTCTTTCTCCCTTCTCTCTCCCTTCTTTCTCCCTTCTCTCTCCATTGACCTGTTCTCTCATAAAACGAGTCTTCACACCCCATACTAGCCTACGAGTCTCAGACAATCCCAAACTTATACACTCACCAATAAAAACACTTTCCTAAGAGCATCACGATCTAACAGAGAGATCATATGGAAAGTCAATCTCTTGCCAGTGATGTCCTCAACCCTCTCTAGAACGGCGGGTAACCTCTGACCATCCTGAGGGGGTTTAGATCGAATACAGCTGTCTACAACCACCACTTCGTACCCCGCCTGTAGCAGTTCGATCAGGGTGTGGGAGCCGACGAACCCAGCCCCACCAGTTACCAGTATTACCTCCGTCTTGTTGTTCTTCTTCTTCGTCTGTCCCGGGGAAGTTCCTGAAGGTGTGGCAGAAGGAGGAATTAGTTGGTTTGTTTGGGTGTGTGGGTAGGGTTGGATGTTATCTCTCTCTCTCTCTCTCTCTCTCTCTCTCTCTCTCTCTCTCTCTCTCATTGGGGTGTTTAATCTTCAGGGGATCCCATTACATACATACATACATACATACATACATACATACATAATAAAACACATTACAAGTATCAACTACAATTTTGTTATTTTTTCTTAATTATCAAAATAATTTCTTCATAATAGATAAAATCAGGAACCAGGAGAAGAACAAGAGGAGAAGAGATGATGAAGGAAGTAAGAGAAGAGAGAAAAGATAACAGAGAGGAAGATTTAAAGCCATTGTTTATATTTGGTAAAGTTTTCTGTGTATTTGTGAACGTGTGTGTGTGTGTGTGTGTGTGTGTGTGTGTGTGTGTGTGTGTGTGTGTGTGTGTGTGTGTGTTAATTACCTGGGTATATAACATGCCTAGTTAAGTTACGTTGGGGTTACGTTACGTTGAGTCTTGGGATCTCCACACCACCATATGACGTCACAAAGACCATCTTGGATGAGCGGAGGGGGAGATGGGGGGAGGGAGGAGGGGGAGGAGGAGGAGATGGGGAGGGGGGAGGGAGATGGGAGAGGAGGAAGGGGGGAGGGAGGGAGAGGGAAGGGAGAAGGGGGGAAGAGGTCATGTCGCCGGAGGGAAGGAACCATTATCATGGAACTTGTATTGTGACGGACAAACACACACACACACACACACACACGCACACACACACACACACGCACACACACACACACACACACAAAGAGACAGACAGGCAGACAAAGAGAGACAGACAGACAGACAGACAGACAGACACTCACCTTCACTCGGAGCTTGATTACAGCGGAGTTCATTTGGCATGGGACTCATCTTGTACTCTGGATTAGTACTCAATATAAACTCTTCTCTTCACACCAGTACGTTGGGTTGTACTCTCGTAAATTTCACTCAAGTTTATATAAATTTCTGTAAATAAACCATAATATTAATTCAACTACGTACTCAGTCTATATTCACTCTAAGTACTCAATAGAACTTAGTCTGTACTCTAAATATCATGAAATTCACTCTACAGCTTATTAAATTACTTAGATTGTACTCTGAGTGGGACTATAGGTCAGAGTACATACAGATCTTTTACTGTGTGTTTAATGAAAATGTACTCTACATATTTGGGACTTGTACTCTGGAAGCCCTATGGTTGCTGATATAAATTGTTGATCTTCACTCTACTGTAAATAACCTAACCTAACCAAACCTAACCAAATCTAACCATAATCTAACCAAACCTAACCAAATCTAACCTTAACCTAACCAAACCAAACCTAACCAAATCTAACCATAATCTAACCAAACCTAACCAGCTCCACATAAACACAGACGTATTATATCTGGCGTTTTTGGCTTCCTCCTTCCCTTCCCCCTCTCCCTCCTCCTCCCCTTCCCCCTCCCCCTCTCTCCCTCCTCCTTCCCTTCCCCTCCTCCACCCCCCTCCCCTCTCCCTCCCCTCCCCTCTCCCTCCTCCTCCCCTCTCTCCTCCCGTTCCCCTCTCTCCCTCCCCCCTCTTCAAGAGTGACCTAAACAGCACTGGTTCAACGCACTGTGCTTTGACAGTAACTTATCTTGAGACTCCACACACACACACACACACACAAGCACACACACACACACACCTCTGCGTCCTGGCTTATTTTACCTGAATATTAGACATCAGCTTACTTTACCTGAATATTAGACACCCCAGCTTATTTTACCTGAACAAACACCCCAGCTTATTTTACCTGAATATTAGACACCCCAGCTTATTTTACCTGAATATTTGACACCCCAGCTTATTGTACCTGAATATTAGACACCCCAGCTTATTTTACCTGAACAGACACCCCAGCTTATATCCCCTACCTAACCTAACCCTCCCTAGGTATGAATTAACAGCATTGAATCCCCAGGTGAAATATGCTGGGGTGCCTAATCTTCACGTGATCCTAATACTGTTACACCATCGTCGTCATCGTCACCTTCTGTCACCTGAGATCCCTCGCCTGTACAGCCTAAACGACCTCATGGTTACCGTTACAAGAACAACCCAATTCGAACTACTGGTCCTATACACATATAAACACGTACATACACATATCTACACACTTACACACACTTACAGTACACATACACACACCTACAGTACACATACACACACAATCACCGAAAAAATCACGGACCACGACACTCGTACGTACTTCTCTCACGCAGCTAAGTAAACACTGAGGGCCGGCAGGCACTACCCAGGTGGATCTCACCCCCAGACGAATCCTATAACTGGTCACTGCGTCTACCTTACCTCATGACGGACCAATAAGAACGCGTTTTATATTACTACCGAGCATATGATTGGCTGGTTAGTGAGAATGTCCAGAGGAATGTGTACCTAAATAATTCATGACCACAAACAGGAAGGTCATACGGTGGATATTTTTTGTCGTGAGTTAAGTTTGAAGATTATTTTGTGTCTTGAGGTAAAATAGTGCTAAAATTACACTGAGACTCTACCTTAGGGACGTACCTTTAGCACCTGTTGATTAGAGGAAAGGTATTTAGTTAATTAATAGTGTGTGTGTGTGTGTGTGTGTGTGTGTGTGTGTGTGTGCGTGTGTGTTAAGTTAATCAGTTTATGGTTTATTCTCACTTACGAGGATTTTTTGTCTTCAGAGATTTATTGACAAGAGATGAATGACGCCATGACTCTCTCTCTCTCTCTCTCTCTCTCTCTCTCTCTCTCTCTCTCTCTCTCAGTTCAATCATTCTTTTCATTGCATTTTATCTCCCCCTCCCCCTCACCTTTCCCTCACCCCTCCCCCTCACCTCCCCCTTCCCTCCCCCCAACTCCCCTTGTCCTTCCACAGTCGTCGACGCAACAGGTAATTTTAGAAGAGTACGAGGTTTGTGTACTTGACGTTTGCTTCTACAAGAGACATTATTGGCTCTTGTTATTGATATTATTGTTATTATTATTATTATTATTATTATTATTATTATTATTATTATTATTATTATTATTATTATTATTATTATTATTATTATTATTGATAGATTCACCCCTACCCAAACCTAACCTAACGCCAACCAAACCTAACCAAACTTAACACCAACCAACCCCAACGCTAACCTAACGTAACCCAACGTACCATATCTGAGGTACCGTTAACCCGTTCTCCTATGTTGGCTGCCGGACCCACTATTGCAGTGACCAGCCAAGACCCGTTATAGTGGCTTGGCTGACGTAAAAACACACCTGTCCACTATAAACGAGTTTAACCTGGGGTCTACCGTATAGGGGGGCTGTGTGCGTGTGTGGGGGGGCTGTGTGCGTGTGTGTGTGGGGGGCGCTGTGTGCGTGTGGGGGAGGGCTGTGTGCGTGTTTGTGGGGAATGTATGTGTTGTGTGTGTGTGTGTGTGTGTGGAAGGTATACTCAGAATGTCTCCATCTCTTTATGTAACCCTTTCCCAGCCGCCCCTCTCCCCCCTCACCCCCACCCCACTGTCACCTCAAGCGCAATATTCCCCCCCCTTACCGCTAGGTGGCCGACGCGTTACATTATTCACCATGTAATCTCGACGGAGTTTCTAGTCTAAGCATAATATTTACATTACAAATTCGCCCTCTCCTTTCCCCCCTCCTTCTCTCCTTCTCTCCTCAGTTCTTCTCAGCTTTCTTTCATTCGTTTTTCCTCAATTCTCTCTTCCTCCTCCTCTTTCCCCCTCCTCTTAGTTCTTTTCCTCTTTCCTCCTGCCTCCTCTCCCTCTCCCGCCTCCCTCTCCCCTCCTCACCTCCCTCTGCCCCCCCTCCCACCCCCTCCCCTCTCCCTCCTCCTCCCCTTCCTCCTCCACCTCCCCTCCTCCCCCTCCCCCCTCCTCCCCCCTCACCATCAACAGGTACTTACGTCTACAAAACCTCACTTGACTCCTCCCCTGTTAACAGTTATAGGTCCTGTTAACAGTCACAGCCTCATACTTGATTACCGTTTAATTAAAAAAAAATTATCTCAGAGGCAGTTACCGTTAAAACCGTTTATTGATGACCGTTATCGTCAAGCATTCAAATTAGCCAATCAGCGGTAAGCATTTTTTAACGGCGAATCAGATCAAATTATGAGGTTCTTGATTTTGTTGTAAGAGAGAGAGCATAACAACAACAATAACTCTACATATAAACAGTACACACAGCCTCCACGTACACAGGTAACATACACAGGTATATTACAGGTATTACAGTAAGTTGTGAAGGTGAGGCCACAGGTGTTAATTAGACGGAACACCTGTTGACCTGGGCGGGATGATAGCGAGTGTGTGTGCGTTAGTCTTTGCCCCATGTGAGAGCGTCTTGTGACCTCCAACGACTAGGTCAGACACACGCGACCTGTGTCCCACCAGCGTAATAATAACCCAAATTATATATCAAATAATCATAAATATGCTTAAACAATGACTAACATACAGTAATACAAACACAAGTTAACATAGCGGAATGTTATTTACTTCTGACGGTGTACGATTATTTCTCTGTGATGGACCATAAATAATTGTTTTGTAATAGGGTTGTGTAGCCGAATTATATCACACAGCATAATTTGTCAGTATGGGAGCGTAAATATGAAGTCGATAATAATGCTGAAACAAATGAGCATCGTATTATATTATTATTATTATTATTAACATTCAGCTAAATCTCAACCACAGAAATTAATCTAACAAAAACAATTAACCTGACGAAGGTGAACGTTAACAATCACAATTAATGGCCTGTGTTTGTTACCTGTTTAAAGCACTAAATTCTGAAACAATTACATTTTGTAACTGAGACCTCAAGCCATAATTTCTTAACAGGTGGAAACTGTTTTATATATTACAATAAATATTTTAGAAAATTTAGATCATCATAACTACCTTCCTTAACCACCCACTGTAACTTTGTCTCTTCTACGTCAAACATTTGCTTTAGAAAGTCTTTGGTATCATTCATCTACCAGATTGGTGTTTCTACTCTACAACTACCACTAGGAAGTTATTGGTGAGCCTGTGGTGATTCAGGACCTGGTGACATACGGTAAATCACCAGAATCCTGTACTAAAGACATATTTAAATCACCTTTCAATAACATGATCGTTTTGTTTTGATCAATGGGAGAAATACGTGAGAAATATTCCCTCTTGTATTTCTTGCTTTCATTATGTCCCTCAAAAAGTCCAATGATTTGAAGTGGACTAACGAGATGTTTTAAGTCACACACACACACACACACACACACACACACACACACACACACACACACACACACACATCCTAGTTAGCTATTCCTGGGGGCTAGTTTAAGGAGGGAGGGCGTACTAGGAGCTAGTTTACAGAGAGCTAAATTCACTAGTTACCCCTCTGTCCACATGACCCCACACACACACACACACACACACATAGATGGCAATAATTATATTACACTCTTAGGCACACAGTCATACACACAGACATTTGGACCATATTTAAACAACTACTTTTATTAGTTAACAGATAGAACCTTCTTTTTATAGCTAGTGGGATATATAAACAACTGCCTTTCTCGATGCGCATCAGTAAATTATCCATAAACGCGAAACACATTAGACCACATCGTCCACCCAAGTCTGGAAGTATACCTATAACTACCAGAGCTATTACTTCTTCAGGCTGTTGCTGTTGTAAGTCTTAAATCAGCAGCTGTTAATGAAGGTGTGTTAATGGTGGTCTCGGCACTCTAACCTGCTGTTAACAATGGAAAATGAATATATAACCCTCTTTAGTCTTGGTATAGGATGCGTCAAACAACTTCATATTAATAACAGAAAATTACTCTATTGTTTCAGTGAAGATATATTACCAACTTTAATTTTTCTGTAGACTGTGAAATATTTTAATACAATCATAGGACAGAACTTTCATTACAATAAACATAACCTACATAAATTAGCCTTTGGAATTTGTAATAAGTCAAACATTATATATAGGAAAGTTCTTTTTGTGACTCTACCTAACTCTAAACACACCATCTTGGCTTTCTCAATTACTTGTATTAAAGTAACGGGATTATTTAATGTTAGTCGTATACATAAACATCAGGGTTATTAAATATTGATCTCGTCTAATACTGAACATGAATGAACTGGTGGATGAACTGGTGGATGAACTTTATTAATTTACTGTCAATTTTCAAAGCCGTGGCAACAGTCTCTCAGTTTTGGTCATCGGTGTATCGATTGTGGTATTCCTCTCTCTTGTGGTCCCATATAACGAGCCTCTGGTCCCATATAACGAGCCTCTGGTCCCATATAACGAGCCTCTTCCAGGTCACTCGTCTAGTTCCCTCTTCCAGGTCACGAGTCTAGTTCGCTTGCACACGGGACATATCCTTACTGTATATTTTACCTGGTGACACACACACACACACACACACACACACTCTCTCTCTCGTCAAAACATACACAGGCGGGAAAGCCAAGGAAAGCATCCCAGCTTGTGTACAGATTCACTCAGGCGTTTTTGCAGAACGGATTTATACGACTCAGAAATCCGCTTTACAGAAACGCCTATTTTTGCCATCCGGATTCCTTTAGTTTGTTTATATTTCATCTGTTTAAGTTTGTGTTTCGGGTTGTTTTTTTTTGCGTTTTTTGTTTGTTTCGGAATTATTACTTAACATACATACATACATACATACATACATACATACATACATACATACACACACACATACATACATACATACATACATACATACATACATACATACATACATACATACATTAAATTTCAAAACGTTATAATTTTCAATGGTAATTTGTGGTTAACTATTCACTACAGCAAACTCTATTATTTTCTGTATAATTTTTGTCTCATTATTATAGTAATTATAGACGTAATAACTGGTATAATTGTCTGTATAATTTGAATGTGTTAACTGATGGTTTAAATTAGTACTACTGTCCTCTGTCTGTCTGTCTGTCTGTCTATCTATCTATCTAATAAAAGAGCTAGAAAGAGTAAAACTGATAACACAAACAATGCAAACAACACAAACAATATATACAACTAAACAAACACACACAAACAAACAAACAAACACGGTACAATGGTCATATATTTCTGCAATGATAAAATTATAATTCACTCTGTACTTCATGTTAACGTGTGTATGTGTTTGTAAGGCTTTATAAATTAACAAAATCCCTCGAA